CCCAGAAAACATGAGACTATTACTGTATATACAAGAATTTAGATAAAGTATAATTAGTAAGTAATTAAGAAGTGTATTAGGTAAAAATAATTATAGATTAAGATTAACATAAGTAAATAGTTTAATTAAAATTAAAAAAATTATAAAATTTAAAATTTAAAATGCGATTAAAGTGCATAATCATATTTCCAAATATAGAAATGACAAGTTATGTGGGACGGACAAAAATAGAAAATAGGGACAAATTATGTGGGACGGAGGGAGTAATATTTAAGATATTTTTTATTTGTAAAAGAACTTATAATTATATGCGCGTTTACAATTAACCACCAGCTTTGGATGAAGATGATTCTTTGTGCGTAATTTAATTTAATACAAGAAATTTCATACAATAAATAAAATAAGATGTATTTTGTGCATTTTCAGTAAAACTCAATGAAGTATTGTATAATTTATTCATATATATATTACTTCATCTATCTCACACTTAATGTCACACTTTCCTCTTCCATATGTCCTACATTGTATGCCATTTTTTTATTTCGGAAAATGATTACATATTTTGATCATATTTAAAAAAAAAAAATTATATTTTAATTTTAATTAGACTAATTAATTATCATAATTTTAATATATAATTATTTATATTATATTAAAATTAATATATTTTCAATTATTTACTTTTTATATTTTTTCTAAATTTCTATGTCTGAAAATTCCATGAGAATTACAATGAAAACCAACAAATTATTATAAAATATAATCTATTGAATCACATTCCAATTAGAAATAATTTAAGTTTGATATTAAAAATTAATTAATTAATTAATTAATTAATGTAAAGTAAACCAGAAGCAAACTGGTATACTTCTTCATTCAATTTATTTAGTTTCTTGGTTCATATAATACAACTTTATTACATTCTAGAATTAAATCAAAGCCACCACCACATTATAATTTGATCTTTGATCAACCCACTTCTTCTTCTTCTTCTTATTATTATTATTATTATTATTTTTCTAAATAAATAATACTCCCTCCGTCTCAGATACCGTGTCTGCTACACTGTAGACATGATATTTTAGAAGGGATGTAATTAGTAGATAATTAAGAATGTATTAGTGAAAATGATTATCCTATAATATAAATAATTATAAATTAAAATTAAAATAACTAATTAGTTTAATTAAAATTAAAAAAAAAATTAAAAATTTAAAATAAGATTAAAGTGTGTAATCATTTTCCAAAAAAGAAAAATAACATAGTATGTGGGACGGACAGAAACGACAACGTGGAGATGGTATCTGGGACGGAGGGAGTAACATATTCAAGATCTATAGCAATCAGTCAACTTTGAATTTGGTCTTCCTGGTTGACTGTCCACGTGGGAAACCTTAAATATGTTTAATCCACGTGGCAAAATACTGGATATAGGACTCTTCTCCTGGTCAAAATTGGTCAAACCTGATAAATACCTTTTTACACTTTATTTTGTAAAATCGTGTCTAAATACATTTCTAAAATATTTTGAAATTTTAGAGTGTTGCGAATAATAGAAAAAGTTTTTACACTTTCATAAACTAATGTATTCATTTACTTTTGGTATAAAGTTTATTTTATTTATTTATTTTTTTTAAATTTTTATATATCGTTGCGAATTCGTAGCCGCTATTAAACAAGTACGCGCTCTGGGTAATTTTTCAGTCGAATTTAATAATATAGATAATAGTTAGTGCTATTTTTTTTTAATGTAAATATTTTATTTATTGTATTTTAGTTTAATATAGTGATTTTACATAAATAAATACTTCATTAAATCTAATTTAAAATATTATTTTTATTATTTTTGCCTGTATCACTAAAAAATATTTATTTTTTATTTTAGTAAAAATAATCATATACTTTTATCAAAATACTTTAACTTATACCTAAATTATAAGCATATTATTACATGTTTAATTAATTTATACATAAAACCAAATGAAAAAATATAAAAAAAAAATTACATACTTCTACTAACCAATAAAATACTATTATTTTTTAATTTATTACAAATCTTCAAAATAATACTTTTAAAATGAGACAAAAACAGTATAAATTTAAGAATATTTGTCATGAGGAGTTGTGTTCTTTTTTTTTTTCGATTAAAAAAAAAAAAAAAACCTCAAGGGAGTTATACTCTTACTTGATAAAAAGAAAATACGATGTTTTGTATTTTAAAAATTGTACTACGACCTATAGAGAATTGTGAGTATAAATAATTGTATAAATAATATAATAATAATGAGTACGCAATATATTAATTTGAAAAAGGAAAAATAGAAAAATATTTGAAATGTTAAACAATGTACATGTTAAATGACTGAATGGATAGTCAATTCATATATATTTAAACTCTCGTTTTTTCCAAATTTGGTTTGCCCCATATATTAGTCTAGTATGACTTGTTTTATCGGATTTAGTTTGTATGCCATTAAGTTCGGTCGGTGATTTATCAGAGCTTATTCGAAAAATAGCAGTTACGAATTCTCACACTATAAAAAAAGTTCATACTAGTAATAAATAAAAAAAAATAAATAGTATCTATTCATTTTTAATTATATCTTTATATATTATTCATCAATAATTTTATTTAAAAATAATAAAATATCATAGTAACATCTATAACTTATTAATTTAATCTTTTATTAATTTCAAATTAATTTTTTAGCACACATTTGATCGCAATCTAGAGAAAGTAACTTTTACTAATATAGTCAAAATCTTAGAAATCAAATAATGTGACATTCCTCGTTTGAAGGCTAAGTCTAGATCTTTTGATAAGTGTGTGAAAAAAAAAAAAAAAAAAAAAAAAAAAAAAAAAACTCTTAGAAACTAATGTAATCCAAACAACATTAAAATAAGCAAATTACATTTATGCTGTATATATATATTGGGAGTATTTTAAAATTTTGAAAATAATAGAGGTTTGTTTGTTTTTTCTTACAAAAATAAATGAATAACACTACTATTAATCGATTGTAATAATAATATATTCCCTCCGTCCCAAAATTATAGTCCGAGTTGTGTTTATCACGAGATTTAAGGAATATTGATATTATATTGTAGTGGGTAAAAAGTACGGGTAGAAGACTCTTTTGCCCTTGTGAATGTATTAGTGTAAAAAGTAGTGGTAATTATATAATAATAATGAAAAAGTAATTGTAGTTTTATAATGATATGATTATTTATGAAACTGAGACTTTTATTTTGGGACGAACAAAAATGGTAAACAAGACTATTATATTGGGACGGAGGGAGTATTATTTTATTTTACAATATATTAAATTAAAATATTATTTATACAAACTAAAACTCATATCAAATCCATAGACAAACCCTAAGAGGTTAAATAAAAAAAATATGTATATATTAAATATAATATCTTATATAAAAGATATATTTTCAATACAATATTTTAAAAAAATAAATATTTGACATAATACTCCTAAAATATAATATATGTATATATATATATAATATTGATGAAGAATGACAAATAATTTTAAGGATAAAATATGTTTTTTGTCTTTTTATTTTCTATTTATCACAATTTTAGTATTTATATTATTAAAATGATAATTTTGATCTCTTTTATTTATATTTGGGGGCTTCGATTTTTAAAATGACAATTTTGATCTTTATCAATTAATATAGTTCAAATTTAGTATTTAATTATCATTTTTTTTCAAAAAATTAATAGATATACTAGTAATATATGCATTGTCATACAAATAAACTATCATTAAAAAAATCGTTTCAAAAAAATTATTCTTCTTACCTATCTGTTAACAAAAGATATATATGTCACTATATTTAATATCATATTTTTATCCACAAAAAGAAGAAATATATATATTTCGTTTTATTATGCAACAATTTAACTAAGAAATACAACTAGCTACAACTATGTTGTTTTGAACGGATAATTTTTAAATTGGGAGTTTAAATTTGTCTTGAAGAAAATATTTCTGTGCAAATATTTGAAAATAATAATAATATAAACTAATATAAATAATGAATAAGAATGATACTTTCGGACGAAAATCATACACTACCTTCATCATTAGAAAACAGACTTATAACTTTGAGAATGAATTTTAATGTTGTGTGTATTTTGTTTTTTACTTTACGAACTTTGATTAAAAATATATATATTTTTTTTTTATATTTTGATGCAACTGTAATAATAATTATATTTATTAATTTTTATTGAAACAATTATTAACGTCTAATATTAAACTAATTTAACAAATGTGAGACAACATTGGTATTATAAAAATAAAAAACTAAAATTAACATATTAGTAAATAAAAGAAACAAAAATATATTTTGCCCTAATTTTAAAATACATATTAATAGAGCCTTTTACATACATGCAGTTCACAATAATTATTTTTAGGCATAATTTATATATATATATATATATATTTTAAAAAATATTACTCCCTCCATCCCACGTACTATGTCCACATTGCCGTTTCTGTCCGTTCCACATTCCATGTCACTTTCCTTTTTTGGAAAATGATTACACACTTTAATTTCATTTTAAAATTTTTAATTTTTTTTAAATTTAATTAAACTAATTAGTTATCTCAATCTTAATTTATAATTATTTATATTATAGAATAATTATTTTCACTAATACATTCTTAATTATCTACTAATTATACTAATCCTAAATATCGTGTTTACAGTGTAGCAGATATACTCAAATCACTTACACAAATCCAGAACAAATATACTCTAATAAAGTCAAAATATTGATTTTGACTTACATAAAATTCAAAAACTAGATCAAATCCAAATTGCATTAACCATTTAACCTCATTCCTCGTGTCAGCCTTCAATTCAGTCAACGTTGACCCTAAGGACCAAAGCCATCACCACAATATTTTTCATAATCTATAAATAGATCAAATATTTTTCAAACAATAAAATAAATCCAAAAAAATAACTTTTTGGAATTCCACCAAACCATATATATATATATACACATTTCCCTCTATAAATTTCAAATTCCCAAAACCATCCCACAAATGGAAGAAGGCTCAACCGGCAGAGGAAGAGGCGGCGCCACCACCCCCGGCGGCGGCGGCGGAGACGGAGAAATAAAATATAGAGGAGTCCGAAAGCGGCCGTGGGGTAAATATGCGGCCGAGATACGAGACACAAACCGGCAAGGCGCCCGTGTCTGGTTAGGGACATTCAATACGGCCGAGGAGGCCGCTAGGGCATATGACAGGGCGGCGTTCGCCATGCGAGGAAATTTGGCGATCCTTAATTTCCCCGAAGAGTACGGTTTGCCGAGCAGCTCGTCGCATTTTGCTTCGGGCCCGGGCTCAAGTTCGGGCTCGGTGCATGAGAGAAATGACGAAGAGCAGCCCGATAGGGAAGTATTTGAATTCGAGTATTTCGACGATAAGTTGCTGGAAGAGCTTCTAGAAGATAAAAATGACAAGAACAAGAAGGTTTGAGAATGTTCTTTTTTATTCATATATATTGACCAAATAATTTGAATAAAAATATTTTGTGTAATATATATATATATTGTGTTGGTGATGTTCTATCAGTTTTTATTTGATAACTGAGAACATTATTTAGTTCATTGAATACCAAAAAAAAAAATAAAATGTATTAATTTAATATTTTGCTTTTATACGATTATAGAAAATATATATAATATATACGTATAATAATAATAATTGATTAAAATACACAAAAATCAACAAATATATAAAAATATACTCCCTCCGTCCCATAAAAATGATACAATTTTTCATTTTTTGTCCGTCTCAAAACAAGAATACTATTTTCAGATAATACCCTTACAACTTCCAATATATTACACAAATGTCATTACTTTTATATCACACAATTTAATAGAAACATTTTTGTCTTTTTCACTATAGATCAATATAATACTAATATTAAAAAATCTACGTGCAAAAAGTACATGTTACTATTCTTTCGGGACGGAAGTAGTATTATTTTGTACAATATTTTCATGATTTTCTTTCACAATAAAAATACTTAAAATTATAAAATTATAAGCACTAAACAAACACGTTCGAAAATATTTTGATTGCTCCCATGTGCATTATTATTATTATTATTATTATTATTATTATTATTATTATTATTATTTTGCATGCGAATGTGATTTTTGTAATAACTATTGTTGGATCGAGAACTACATGATTAATGGTGCGTTTAGTTCTAAATTGTAGCTGTGTCGATAGTTTAATTATATATATATATATATAATTTTTGTAAGTTGGGTTTATTTGATTTGTGTTGAAAATTTAATTTTAATTTAAATAATATTTTAATATTTTATTTGTAGAAAAATATTAAAGTTCGACTCTCTCCATCATTTCTACAAAAATATTTTTTTGATAGCTCTCATATCAAAATGCTTTATATGGCTTAACACTATTTTTATTTCATATAAAAATACATTATATATATATATATATATTAAACTAACTTTGTGATGTTGCATCATTTCAATAAATATACAATATTTTATTAATAATATATTAAAATATTATTTAAATTAAAATTTAAATAAAAATTTCATACCAAATAAATGAATATGATGAAGAGAGTAAAAAAGTAAGTGGATCCATATATATGTTATTTGTAAGAAGAGTATCATTTTTTTTTTTTTTTTTTTTTTTTATGTATTATACTCCCTCCGTCCAGTTAGAAAATATATATATTTTTATTTTGGGACGTCCAATTATAAAGTAAATATTTCATTAAATATCCTATTTTTTTCTACAAATACCTCTATTTTACATCACATCATTACTTTTACACCAAAAAATAAGGGCAAAAATGTCATTACACTACTTTTAACTACCCACTATAATTAAAATACTACTCCCTCCGTCAAGCTAGAAAGTATACACATTTCTATTTTGGGACGTCCAATTACAAAGTAAATATTCCATTAAATACCTCAATTTTTTCCACAAATACCCTTACTTTACATCACATTATTACTTTTATACCAAAAAGCAAGGCCAAAAATGTCATTATACTACTTTTAACTACTCACTATAATTAAAATACTATTATTTCTTAAACACCGCGCCAAAAGTAAATGTATACTTTATCCGTGGACGGAGGGAGTATTATTTCTTAAACACCGCGCCAAAAGTAATTGTTTACTTTATGTGTGGACGGAGGGAGTATTACTTTGTAATGAAAAAGATATAAATTATCCTATTAGTATTATGTAATATAAAAATAATGACGCTTGTATAATATATTATAAATTGCAAAAGTATTTATTATATTAGATAAGTAGTACAATTGCTAAATTAGAAATGATACTCTTACTTCGAAACATACTGTTGATGTAATTTTTCAACAAAAATAAAGTAAAATTCAAAGATATAGAAAATATCCTTAAACTTGATTAATTAGTGCCTGAGATTAGGAATCTCTAAACACTGTATGGTACAGAAAATAAACTGGAAAATAAAAGACTGAAATTTAAAGTGGTGATCCCCAAATCTGACTTTGCTTTGTTGAAGTTGATTGAAGATGCCTTGCCAAATGATGATCCAAATCCTTAAATATTCTTTGAAGAAACTGTACTGAAAACCGTCGCCCGAACGGTTACAACGTCTCCTTCCCAACCGTCTTCCAACCCTTCTCTTGCTGACACGTGTCCTCAGCAGACCAAAATTATCCCTATATTTCACTCTTTGAGCCGACCACAGACCTTCCGCCCTTTTGGCCCGACTTCGTCCTTCGCCCGACCTGCTTCTTCGCCCGACCTCACTTGGGCCGACCTCCGCATCAGCCGCCCTCCGTCTTTGACCGAAGACCTCCGCGTCTGTCCGTACCTCTTCCTTGCCCGACCTTCCTCTTGACAGACCTCCGCGTCTGCCCGACTTCGCCTTCTATCCGATCTACGGTTTACCCGACCTGCGGACTTCCCATCCTGATGACTTTCCGTCTTGAGGACCTCCCGACCTGAAAACCTTCCGACCTGAGGTCTTTCCGTCCTGAGGACTTTCCGTCTTGAGGACCTACCGACCTGAAGACCTTCCGACCTAAAGTCTTTCCGTCCTGAGGACTTTCCGTCTTGAGGACCTACCGACCTGAAGACCTTCCGACCTGAAGTCTTTCCGTCCTGAGGACTTTCCGTCTTGAGGACCTACCGACCTGAAGACCTTCCGACCTGAAGTCTTTCCGTCCTGTATTTTCCTTGATTTCCACACGGTGTCCTTCAGCCAGTTCAATCAACTCTATTGCCAGGCCCATTCTTCTTTTTACCTTGGGCTTTTAACCTAATTCTAAATTTCGTACGTAACAACTTGCCCGCCGCCAAGGGACTTTCAAACGCCATTTAACAATCAATGTTTGGAAGTTCATAAATCACTACCCTCTTGAAAAATTCCCTTAGCAACTGCACCAGTTACTGCAACACTCCTGATTAACTTCCTTCTCCGCAATACGAGCTTTTGTGAATCACAATCCCAAAACACTCTAACCATGGCGAATCAATACATTCCTGCCCTTCCTTTCGACGGAACCCTCCCAGAGGGCCCATTTTCAGCCTCGAAAGTACTAACTCCGACGATCCGCCCATATTGCACTACTCCTGAAGACTCAAATCGGATTAGGGAAGTTTTGGAATCTCGAAATTCCTTGGCTATCAACAACCCTAACTACCAAGCAGTTCGCATTCGAGACAGCATCAAAACCCATCTCACAGACCCAAAAGATCCTTACCGCTCTTGGTATCGACGGGTAGCGGAACACTTCCAGACCCAATGGCGATCTCAAAAAATCGACCAAGCAATACTATTGTCCACCATGCCGATCAATCTGCACGAGAAGGTGCTCCTAGCCATGTCTGCCTTCTGGAATGCGGAAAATGGGACTTTTCTCTTACCATCGGGCCCCTTTGGTCCAACTCTTATGGATGTGGCAATGATCGCGCATCTCCCAGTCGTGGGTGAAGACCCTGTGATGGGAGCCCTAGATGGGCAGGAGCCATCAGAAGACCATCCAGGGTGGTCTTTACAAGGTGTGAAGGAATGGGGTTGGACAAAGTTCGCAACCGACCAGCAAGGGGCTCCAGGGACCCCCGTGACCGACCGGGAGCATACTGCCTTTATTCTTTTTTGGCTTTGTAGGTACGTCATTGTTTCCCCTTCCAAATGTGTTCTTCCTTCTCATCTCGACCTGGCCATTCATATCGCATCAGGTCGGTTCTTTTCCCTTGGCACCCTGTTTTTAGCCAATCTGTTTGAAGGACTCACCAGGGTTAGCCTTCGTTTAACAGATAATGATAATAGAAAATTAGACACTGCCGCATCGGGTCCTTTTTGGTTTTTAGAACTTTGGTTCCGTCTTTACTTCCCCAATGCGTTCAACTTAGGATCTCCGCCCACTATGCCAATATCCGAAAAACATTTGGGATTAGCCCTCAACCGACTCTACTCAGGACGCAATAAACTCCAATCTTCCGATCCAATAATAACCACAATTTTAACAGATACCCGCAGTAACTCTCGATTTTCTATGTATAAAAAGTATGCGGGTTATGCTCCCGACCATTTTTGGCCCTTTCCGGCACCAAATCCTCTTCCGACTCCTGAGCCTTGTCTCTTTTTAGCAGCAAAAAACTTGATAAAAAAGGGCAGAAAACCTTTTACACCTTTAATTATGAACCTCAATTCATGGCACGCCAGTTCGGCTGTTGCCAAGGTATCCCTGGACCCGTCGCTTGTCCGCATATAATTTTCCAAAGTCCTGACCGACGAGTCCTACCTAATTCAATCCCTTCTTATATCTCCCAGCTCACCACATATATAATTTCCAATTCTTATATTCCTTTCCGCTCCAACCCTGAGACTGTAGATACATTCAATGAATGGTGGTCGGTTGTATGGCCCCTGATTTCCCCTAATGAGGATCGGTTGCTGAACATACTCCTTCCCCCCCAAGGATTAGTTCTAGGGGCGGCTAGACATACTAGCACTCAGCAACAAACAGCCGCCCCGGGAATCGGATCTGGTGTTCCAATGCGAAAAAGGAAAGCTTCCCAGCTGCAAACACCTCCGACCTCTGGGGCCGACCAGCAAGCTCCAGCGGACCTTGGAACTACTAGGACGTCAGCAAGGACCCGACCCCGAATAGGTAATTTTTCTTAAAACCGTGAACCAATTCACTATATCTTAACTTTGATTTCACTTATTTCATTCACCAGAACCGACCTTGGTGACACCGACCACACAAACGACGCTAGCCCCAGCCGACCATTCAATCGTACCTTTGGTCCAGACCAATTTGCCAATGAGCAGTCGGGCGGAGGACCCGACGAGGAGGCAAACTCTTCCTCCCGTACCGAGGAGTGGTCGGGCCAAGCACCCGACCAGGAGGCAATCTTTACCAGCAGTGCCTATAGAACCAGTAAGTTCTCTCATCAGCAATACTTAGGATTCTAATGATCAACCTTGATATATTTAACAACAACATTCCCATGATTTTTCACAGACACCTTCACCCATCGCATCAGCAGCAGGGGT